AGTGCTTTTGAAAATTGGTTCAACAGCCCCCAAAAATATTTGCTTCAGAACATTTGCAAGAACTTGTACTTTCTATTTATATGTTTTTATATGTTTATGTATGTTATATGTCTAAGAGTTTTGCATTGAAATAATTTTTAAATATATATGAATAAAGTTGAATTTTGTTTTATCAACCAGTTTGTGTGGAAGCCGTAGAAGCTTTCTGAAAGAAGAATGAAGCATCTTAAAAATTCACTCATATTTGCATTTTAAGATGCTTTATTCTTCTTTCAGAAAGCTTCTGCGGTTTCCACACAAACTGGTTGATAAAACAAAATCCAACTTTATCATTTTCAGATGACCTATACCGTTGGTACTATGTAAAATTAAGAGCATCATAAATTTATTTAATTTAAGGTCAATGTAAACTCAAAGATTTTCATACGCCCAGTTGTTAAAAAGATTAATACAGCTTAATGCATGCCTTGAAACTCCACATAAGCATGTATTTTTTGGCCTTTGAGTCATGTTAAAAAGAGCAGCAGTAATTTCAAGTGTAATGCGCAGTACTTACTGCAACCAAGTAGAAAAATTTACTGTAATGAATATATAATAAAATAATTAAATATGGGTTATATAAAATAATTTTAAATATGGGTTATGTTTTAAATTACAACAAAAAGAAAAACATTTGATAGCTGCCAATGTTGCCAAGTTGTTGGAAAGGGTTTTGTGTTGTTTGGGGATAAGGAAAAAGTGCACCTCTTAAATAATATTGCAAGAAATGTAATTTATTAAAATGAATTGAAACGCTGAAAATAAATTTGTAAAGTGCTGTGAAACCTTTCATGACAAGCACCTCAAAGTAACCTGTATTTCTGAGAACATAAACATCAGTACTGAATACCACCGAAAGTCATTTAATTGGAAAGGACAAACACCAGTATAAAATTAAATATCATTGAGAAAAAGGCTATCTTAGATTTTGAATAAAACTATCGAGTTTAAGGGGGATTTGACACATGGTACCACTTCTTCAAGAATAAATGTTTTTAAAAAGGTGATAGAAGCAATATTGAAATGATCAGAAACTGCTCATGATCATCATAGAAAGTTTTGACTGTTTTTTTACTTGAATATATTAAATTTCATTCGCACATTTCAAGCAAGAAATTAAATATAGATGTAGTGTTATTTATACGAAAAGCACTGACTAGCCATAAATAATCAAATGTTAATTATTGTAGAATTTTAAGTCAAAACAAATTTCCAATTACTAACTTTGTGCTTTGGCTTTCCGTATTTAATTGTCTTCATTCACCAATAATATGAATGAATGAAATAATGAATAAAATATTAGTATCTTCAGTTCTCTTTTCATGCATATCAATCCTATATATAGAAAGTCATGATAAGAAACTGGATGCCTGTGAAGCTAAGAATTATCATTGTTCATAAAATGCAAAATCTGTGGCCTAAACACTTAAAACTTTTCAGATAACACATTTCAAATATGAACTCACACTTTAAATTATACAGCATCTGAGACAGGACTTTTTAACAGAAAAAAGGATGAATGAATATAATGCCATCTATTTATTTTGAAAACTATACAGTAAGTGATAAAATGTCATTAATATTGCATTGACCTTATCAAGCATCTTATGCATGTAATATTTGATCAATTAATTTTGAATTGAGTATCTAGATAATGTGCAAAGTATTTTGAATTATCTTAAATTTTGCTTATATTATCCTGTATTAATCCTGAGTTTCAGATTTTATGTCTCAATACCATAACTGTAAGTAATAACTTTACTTATGCTTGTTAACAGATTTTAATCAATTTGTGTAGAAGTCACCTGCAACTGATATAATACTGATGTTGATAATGATGAAAAGTTAATAAAAATTATCATCCAGATACATTTATTTCACACAAATCAGACGCATTATAAATTATATTCATCATATTACTAAAAATATATTAGAGATACATTATCACTGCTTTTAAATTGCTCAGTTGTACCCAAACTATTGTGCTACATCTAATTGTAACATTCTTGATATCTTATAATTTGCCAGGCAGCAGCAATGATAAATTAAATGTTGTGAACTCACAATGCTTCACAATCCAAGTGGTTAGTAAATGTCAGGGCAGAGTAATACAATGCAATGACCGTGTGAAAAATTGCAAGGATAAGTTATAAACACTTTGATGCCAACAATATAAGTAATAAAAAAGCAATATGGGAATAAGAAATTAAGGATATAAAATTTCTAATAAAGCTAAACATCAAGGAGGGAAAAGGCTTAAGGTCTATTTTATTATATTATTAGAAGCTTACATTATTAGAAGCCCATTTATTTATAATTGTAATGCTTAAATAAACTTAAATTACTGCACTAACATTTCTCTAGAAAGAAAGAATAATATAAACTACATTACAAATTGGCATCAGTACCTTCTCAAATCCAAACATTGGTAGGTTACTTATATTTCTAATATTATAAAATGTAAAAAATTAAAAAGAAAACTAGCAAATTTTAGACTCATATTCCTTTGAAACAGCAAAGTAGATATAATTTTATATTTCTCGTGACATCTTCAGCTGAGGGTTGTTGCCCTGAGAAATGTAAAAATCTTTACATATGATGAGAGAGAGAAACAGGAGTGCTAAACCGGGGGGTTGAGGATGCGATCAGCCTTTTATTTGGCTGTTAAGTATTTAGTTTTAATTTATGAATATATAATACTACTTTTATTCAAGTTTTGGTATTTACCAATATTTTCCGTACTTTTGCTTATTTTATAAAAGCGTTAGGAAATAAACTAAATATAAATAAATGTATATATGTATTTTTCAAGTTTGGAAAAATAGAGGAATGATCCTCTAGCTCAGGTGAAAGGGATGCATGAGGCAAAAAAGGTTGAAAACCACTGATATACAGAGAGAGAGAGAGATCAAAAACTAGAAAGTGCAACTGAAAAGTTCTCATAGAAAGGGTTTCAATTCTAATAAATCTTGATTTATGATTTTTTGAGTGTTATAAAAATATAATAGTGAATATTTGTACTTTAGTGTATACAAAATCTTTATTTAATAATTATTTTGTATGCAGATATTTCAGAATACTTAAAAAACAGCAAACTGCAACCTTAACCAAATGTCCTATATATAAGAATAGCTGACATTTTTAGCAACCATGTTCTTGTTGATGATTAAGCTCCAAGGAAAAAGGGAAAGGCAAAAGAAAAGCTGTGCAGTTCATAGTTTTTCAAGTGTTTTGTTTCATTGGGACCTTAATAGATAAGTGTTCCAGAGTGTGTAACTGGTTGTTCCGTCTTTTTAGTAGATAGGCGGCGCTCTTGATGCGCGCCGATGAAAAATATTCCACTTGATGCTTGAACATGAACAATGACGCATGTCATATTTATTTGAGGCTTGATTATGTTTCATGGCCGCTATAGGCGGAAGTAATATAAGTAATATAAGTTTATCGTTAATAAATGTTATTTCTATGTTCTAAGAACTCTTGAAATTTTGATTTGAAATTCTAATGCTCTCCCAACCTTGACTCCTGAAACGAAACGATCTTTGAATTTATGACTCATGAAGAGAGACACCGCACACTGGTACATAAATAAGACTACGCTTAATTAAAAGTTGAGCAGCTGGTAAACACCCTTTTCATATTATGATTATATTTATATAAGAACCAGCAAGTGTTCTATTAGCACAGTTAAATTTTTATAAGATTTCAGCTATTTTCAAAATAGGAAATCATTAGTTAAATGGAGTTTGTAACTGGAGTGTTAAATAGCAACTATATTTAATAACTAAAAATAAGTGAAATACTAAATAAATAAATAATTTAGTGAATATACGAAAATGTTTTAATAAACTTTTAGGTTACGGTACCTTAATGGATAGTATTCCAGAAACTTATGCAACTCTTACATCGATAAGATCACAGTTAATTATAAGTTGAGGAGCTGATAAACACACTTTTCACACCATGATTATATTTATGAAAGGACCAGCATGACTTCTATTAGCAAAATTAAATTTTTGTAAGATTTTAGTTATTCTCAAATAATGAAATCATTTGTCAAATGGAAATTTGTGACTGAAGTTGGAAATTTGTAAATGTTAAATAGCAAATACATATTTAATAAAAATATAGTGAAAATACTAATAAATAAGATTTAGTAAATATATTAAATATTTAATAAACGTTTATTTTATGGAACCTTAATGGATAGCATTTCAGAGTCCTGTATAACTGGTACATAGATAAGACCACAATTAATTATAATTTGAGCAGCCTTTCACATGTTTATATTTATGAAAGGATCAGCATGTGTTCTATTAGCACAATTAAATTTTTATACCATTTTAGTTATTCTGAAATAATGAGATCATTTTTTAAAGAGTTTAACTGTTGCTAACTTTAATTAACTTTAACTGAAGTGTTAAACAGCAAATATATTTAATAATGGAAGATGTTAATTAAATGCTAAATAAATAAAGAATTTTAATGAATATACTAAAATGTTTTCATAAACCTTTAGAAAACATAATCAGATCGTGTGCCCTTTTTCTTTTTATAGGTGCAATGCTTTAGATATTATTGAAGGAAACATTGTTTTCTGTTATACAAAGTGAGGAAGATTGATGTAGTGATGAACGAAAATGAAGACTGATGATATACAATTTGTATAGATCACATTATATTGCAGATTTCATGTAATTATTTTTATTTTTGTCTATAACAATCTTGTCCAAAAATTGTTTTACTAAATAGCACTGGATCATATATTCACTTAAAGTAATATAAAAAGAATGCATAAAAACCATAATAGAGTTATCAGAAAACCTAAAATACAATATGGTATTTAGAGGGATAAATCTGGGATTTAATTTCAAATAATTTAAAAGTTCAGTTGCTGTCTTACATCTGTAAAAAGGTAAATAACAAAAAACGGACAATAATAATTGATTAAAAAAACTTACATAACTGTGAACCACGTGTTGTTAATACCATATATAAAAACTTGATTTGAAAAAACAATAATACTTCATATTGTTGGTGATAGAAATACTGCACATTGTTTGACAAATTTTCTATCTGTAAGAAAATAATACCTCACTGAATAGGGCAATAAAAGTACGGATTTAAAAAAAACTAACTTTAGCTAGGTTTATGTTTCATTCAAGAGAGGAATGCGTAACTACAATGGCGTTATCCGACAACCATGTAAAGAACAGAATTGTACGAACAGCATCAATAACCTCTCTCTGTTTATTAAGTACTGTAAAATTCACTACATTTCATTTAAAGCGTACATAACACATGAAATGCATACAAAATATATATTGTACTTACTTTAAACGTACCTTTCTTCGCGTGTTTAAAAACGAAACGTCTAAGCAGCACTAAACGACGCCAACGACAGTGTGATGAAAGCGATGAAAAGCAGCCAAGTGATATTTATTTATGAGAAAGTTGTGTAAGTGATCGGCTAAGTCCGGTGGGAACGAGAGTAATTCGATGTCGGCGTTTTTGTAAGTTCTTACAGAGTTTTGAAAATAGAATGGAATTAATAAAACAAGGAGGCGGCTGTTATATACTGAAGAAACCAACATATTAACGAGATTTTCTTTATTCATTTCATTTAAAATTTGAACTAAGATAGGCTGAAAATATTTTCGGTTCAGCGTTATATTCTCGTATATGCTGTCTTTGGCTCAAGTTGGTAGTTTGTATTAAAATAGCGTTAGTATTTCATATTTTAGAACCAAAATAATAATAAAAAAAATAAAATGCGAGGGACTTTTGAAATGCTTACTCAAGGATTGACTTCGATTATATTGCATTCTCATCTTTTCATGATTTCCCTCATAACCGCATTTGTATCACCTTCTCATGCATGGACTTTTTCTTTTATAAAGCCGTTTATGAATTAATTTTTTGTACGAGATTCAATCAAACTGAAACTGTTTCTGAGATTTCAGTATCGTAACAGTTTTTTTAAAAAATAAAACCAGTGCATATGCACTAGATATTTAGTGATTCAATAGTAAATGAGGAATTTCACTTTTAAGACACTATATTTATAAATATTGATAAAAGTATATGAGGTTTATTTTATTTGATTAACATTAATTTTTCCATTGCCTGCACTTGATTACAAACTGTTTGATTCCTCTTAGTTTTAAAAGCATGCTGTTGGAGTAAACATGCAAAAGTAATCGATACATTTCCTAATAGGTATAAAACTGTTGAGAAAGTATTTTATAGCAATTATTGAAGCTACTTAAGTAATAAAATGAATGTGAACGAAGTCAAGTATTTTTCATTTCTTGTGTGATGTCTGGATTAAAAAAATTCCTAACACTCAAATAGATTGAATATTTCCTAATCATGAAATACATGCTTGTAGCCTTTTTTAATATATAGTGTCGGAAAAATTGTACGATTTTAGGATAAAATGCTATTATTCTCATAAATCAGTAAATATTTGAACTGAAAATGTAGAACATCTACAGAATTTTCATAGGACGTTCACCTAATCTTGATTTTTAAGTGAATTTTTTAAGGAAATGTCTAATCTAAATTCATCATTTTCATTAAGTGTGGGAGCAGATGGCTACAGAGATTACTTACAAATAAATGTAAAGGAAAGAATTCTTGAAGGAATGTGAAACACCAAGATGTGAATAAAAATTTACAATGTAAGATGTATACTTGTTTAAAATGGCCAAAGATTTTCACACAGTAATAGTTACAGCTTCACAAAAATAAAAATTTCTTAAAGTGCCCATTGGACAAGCAGTCATTTGCGTGAGTTATAAATGCAGAAAATGAACATGCTGATGGATTTTGCTTTACAAGTAGTACAATGTATATATAATGAAGGTGTAATATTTGATTTAATTTTTCCGTTTATATATACTACTAACTTACTCATAACTTAAATGTTTTTACTTAGGATATGTGAGCAGTGTAAAATTATTTTAGTTGTTCATCTAGTGATTCATGCTTCTAAAGACATGTCAGTACGAAAAATCAGATAATTTATTTTATGTTAAAGTAAGCATTTAGTATGCAATTAAATGAACTGTCAGTCCCTGCATAGGAAACAAATTTGAAATTAAGCTTGAATCTCCTTTAAAGCCGCTATGAAGGATGTAATAATTTCAAATTTTGTGAGATGGGTGGTAGTTTTAACTTCATAATTATTCAATGATATGAAATACGTTAGTAAATACTTTATGTAAAAGCTGCGCTTATTATTCCTGTGTACTCCGTAACATTTTGTGCAAAAAAAAAAAAACTGTAAATAAGATTGTTTTTTACATAAATCATGTTAAATGGTTTCATTAAAATTTATTTGCCATATATTTGAAAAGCAAGTTTAATCATATTTAATTTGATTAACTGTTTATTTTGTTATAATTTTTTTTCTATTTTTTGTTCCGTATTTATTGTTTAGGGAGGGATTTTAAATGTATTCCTGTGTGAGTGTCTACCGTAATGTGTTATAAAGAAATCAGGGCTAAAGTTTTGCATTTCTGCATTCTACGAATAATATTGATTGCTGTTACCTAGAGGACTACACAAGCTTTAAAAATTGTTGGCTTAGTTTCACAGCTGAGTGATTATGTTACGCGCGCGAAGACAATTATTGCTTGGCTTGCATAAATTTCCGAAACACTTCTCACATGTATGGCTCAAATAGGCTATTATGAATGGGAGTACCTATTAAAATATACCCAGGTAAAGCACTAATCCAGGTGCGCGTGCGGAAAGTGAAGGCAAGCATTGGAACTGAACGCAGGTATGATAACCAATAGGAACAGAGACAACACTGTCAAAAAACCGCCTACTCGGCAAAGTCACCTTTAAAACGAGAGTGCAGGTAAGGATATATAAAAAGTTAATTTACAGGTGTACCAATCACAGGTGACTACAGGTGTTACCGATTTAGAGACTTCAGCTTCACCACCAGAAGTTTGATTTCTTTTTAAATATAATTTTAAAATATATTGATAGTATATTTTTAAAGAAGGGTATTTATTTGATATTTTTAAAATGTATTGATAATATTTTTTTAAATATGAAATGATATATTTTTATGTTGAAGTGATATTTATTTGAAGTGATATATATTTACTTGCTCTATAATATGAAGTGATATTACAGATTTGTGCGAAACTTAACTGCGTTTTTATTCAAGTATTTAAGTCACAATTAAATAGCGTAGTAAAAACAATCTTACTATTTAGTAAACGTATTTATTATAGCTGACTTTTGTTTTTTTTTAATTACAAGTTAATCCAGAAAATTTTTGTCAGCTTAAAGGCAAATTTTATTATTATTATTAGTTTATTGATTTTCAGTTTAATAATAATATTGCTTTGATTTGAAAAGTATTTGTGTCCGTATTGAACCTGATAATTATCTACAGATTATGATTACATTCGAAATAAGTCAAAAATCATTCGGATTATCTAGTTACGTATGACTAGTGTATCATATCTGGATATTATCTAGTTATGTACGGCTAAGTCCGTGCAAAAGAATGTTACTGAACCTACAAAACCAAGCCCCTGTGCGTTGCCTTCTGAAAAGCTGTGCAGGTTCCTTCAATTTTTGCAATTGACTGCACGACATCAACTTACAAATCATTCATGCATGGTGATCGAAATTATATACTGCGCAAGTTATATTTCTGGCATAGAGGCATTTAATGTTGTGTGAATTTAACGTTTTGTATGTATACTTGAAGATATAGGATTAAAGTTTAGTTTTCGCTTCATTATATAAATACTTCGAATAAAAAAATGTTGCTGAGCTAGAAATTAATACTGAATGAATTTGGAGCTGAAGTTTAGAACAGAAGTGGAAAATTTATTATTCTTAATTCTGCGAAACCTGTGGAATTTACTGTCCCAATCGAATTTCAGATTTCAGGTTCAAAAGAAACTAAAAAATATAAGTGCCACTTCAAATTCATAAGAAGAGTTAACATGTAATAATTAATATAACACAATAAGTTAACATGTATTAATAAAATTTCTGCATCAAATAATGATTATTTGACTCTAAGAATTATTTAAAGAAGCTGATTTTGTTAAAATTTGCTGATTTTAACAACAGTTTTCATTATTTTATTTCTGCACGTCTAAGAATTATTCATTTGAAATTCATGACAATATGATCACTATTTTAGGTTTCTTGAAATACCGATTTCTGATAATTACACAAGTGTACAAAATTAAGAGAATTTGCACATTATATTGAATTTCTGAAAAAACTAATGGGCAGATTTTAATGAAATTTGACATAAATATATATTTATAACAGAGAAAGAGATATGCTATTCAAAGTCATTTGTGTACTTATGATTATCAGTAAAGATCATAGTGCAAGGATGTACAAAACCCACGTTGTGATATCGAACTGAAAATGAGTTTAATATAGGGTATGGTTTCCTCTCACAGCCACGCAGGGCACGCAGCGTCACAATATATTGGACAGGAGGCAGGTGAGGAGTCCCCTTAGCAATCAATCCCAATCTTGCACCAAAAGAGTTTTCAAATCCGAGACGCTTCTCGGGGGCGATGTCGAGATGAAATTACCCTCCCAAGAGCGTCTCGGACATGCTGTATAGAGATAAGGCCAGGAGATCTGTCAGGCCATCTTACTTTCCTGGCAATTGTCGACCAGCTGAGCTCAGTGTGGACGAGTGTTGTTATCCATTATCAGGAATCCAGAACCAACTCCGCCCTATCGAACATAAGGTTTTGAAATGTCCTCTCTACCCTCACAGCAATCAGGAAGCCTTTGTCAAACGCATACGGGGGTAGCGGTCGTCCAACATAATGCCTGTCCAATCCAACGAGATGTATACTGGATACCTGTTATATGAAGTCGTTGGTTCAATTCATTACAACGTCTGTATGACGTTATAAGAGTAGTTATTCTCAATAAAAGGCTACAAATTAAAATTCTGTTCTTTGTGTATCGCTATAAAATCGGAAGTAATTTTGATATCAGAAACACTTGATCTTTCTAAAATTTTCCGATTCAACTTTAGAAACTGCAATTATATTTGCATTCAGTATTTCTGTAAGATTATCTTATTTCCTGCTGCATACTTCTAATTTGGTCATTCTGATGCTAAAAAACGTAAAAGATGTTTCGTAACTGAAAACTAAAAGCCTGTATTCAAATTTTTGTCCTAATATACGTTATTTTAGACTTTTACGAATCTGCAGTATTGTTTGTGTTGGCTAACACTTTTGTCAACCAGTGCAATGCGGTCACTCCCCCCGGGTACTTTTACTATATTTACTTTACCCCGGGGTACTTTTACGGGGTATTTCAAGTCATTTATGGTTAAAACGTACATTTTCCATTCAGTTATTTAC